TGAGTTTGGTAACACTATGTGTAGGAGAGAAAAAGTCATCTTTTCCTTACTCATCACAAGGCTCAGGGCTGAGATTCTTTAACAAAAGACAGGTGAACAAGGGAAAAAGAGGCTGGCCTTATAGCCCACTGGTTAAGGGGAATAGATTTCACATAGCCTACACAGTGGTTGGAATCCCAGACCCTGAAGCTGAAAAGCACACCATGTGCACAGGTACCCCAAATCCCAACAGGACGGAGAAATGGAGACGACATTGTGGTGTGACCACGCTCTAATGTTTCAAACCCCAAAGTTTAAAAGAGGGTTGTTTCTGTTATCGAACTCAAATCAGGTTCACTCAACCCAAGCACTATAAAACCAAGCCATAGGCACATGGTGTGATGAAGGAAAGGACAGCTTTATTGCAAAGCGCAAAGCAAGGAGAGCGGGATGTCATGATGAAAAGGCCCGGTCTCCCTGAGACGGTTCCCACGAGTTTTTAAGGGCAAAATTAGGGGCAGCGGTCCCAGGCGCGTGATCAGTTCAGTGATTGGTTCAAGAGGGCGTGATCAGCTCGTGGGCATTCTTGATTGGTGAAGCCTTAGATAATCAAATTCCTCTTCAGGTGTCTGGAACCGTTCAGCCTGGGGTCTCTGAGCTCACAACCAGCAGTTTCCAGTCTACAAAACATCTTATATATTGAAATGAAAATCTTCTTTCCTTTAAGTGAGAGTTTTAGAGGTCAAATGGCCCTCACTCATGGTCCTTGTTGGTCATTATCATAACCAAAGTCTGAAGACTTACTCCTTACCCTGGGCCATGACAATGCAAATAGACTTTATATTTCAGGAACCCTAGAAAATACATTAGGGGGTTCTTGCTCTGTTTCATTTCCTCTCTGTCTCTCTGGTAAGCTCATGTGCCCTGTAGCAATTTAAAAATAAAACAAACAAAAGAAAAACATGCATTTTTTTAAAACAAATTTTTTTTAGATTTTTGTTTAACTTCACTTATTTATTTATTTATTTATTTATTGGAGAGGTTTTTGCTATAGGGGGCGTGCGCTCACCAGACAAAGACAGAAAGCAAGAAATTACCCCCCAGGGGGGATGGCCACACTGCAACCCCTTTTCCTCCATTCTCCTCTCGGGATCTTGGGCACACACGCACATATGCCTGGCATGAGTTTTAAGCCACCGGGCCCAGGTCTTGAACCGTGGTCAACTACATGGGAGTCCAGCAACATAGCCATTACGCTAACTGCTGGCCCCTTGGGCAGGGAGGGATAGAGTGAGAAAGAGAAAGTGAGAAAAGCAAGCCGCCATGTCCAGGACTCCAACCATGGTTGGCCATGTGGGAGCCCAGCACTCTTAACCACCATGCCACCTACCGGTCCCAGCATGCATATTTATTTTATCCATGTTTTAGGTGACACAAGAGCCTTCAGAAATGAAGACCCAGGATCAGCTGGTGTCAGGATGCTTAAGGTGGCTGGATCCCATATGGCCAACTGCATGGTTTGGCTTAAAAAATATGCCTGGTGTGTGTGTGTGTGTGTGCACCCAACCTCTTGAGAGAAACTGCAGTGTGGTTATCTCCCTTGGGAGGTGCTTTCTCAAGTCCTCTCTGTCTGTCCCCATGTCTCTCTCCAGCAAGCACACATGCACTATAACAAAGAAAGAAAAGAAAAAAGAAAACTTGGGACCAGCAGTTAGCGTAATGGCTATGTCGCTGGACTTCCATGTAGTCAACCGCGGTTTGAGTCCCGGACCCGGTGGCTTAAAACTCACGCTGGGCACGTGTGCGTGCATGCCCAAGATCCCAAGAGGAGAATGGAGGAGAAGGGATTGTGGTGTGGCCATCCCCCAGGGAGGTGACTTCTCGCTTTCTGTCTCTCTGTCTCTGTCTGTCTGGCGAGCACACACGCCCTATGGCAAAAACCTCTCCCAAAAAAAAGAAAAAAGAAAACTTAAAGATAGACCTGGATATTTTTGCGGACAATTATACAGAAGTATGATTGGAGGACAACTGGAGATGATTTAATGATAATACAATAGAATTTAGCAAGGCCTATTTGATCAGTTTCTTCTTTGTGTCCTCATGTGACATTCCTTCCCTCTGGATATAGGGAAGGACACCTGTAACATGAGGGCCTTTAAGGGAGAAGGAAGGAGATGATTATAGAATGACTTGGTTATGGAAAAAGGGATGAGACAGGGGAATTCTAGTTTCTAAAGTCCACTTTGCAGGAGAAAGGGGTAAGGGAAGGTCAGAGACGTTACTTCTGCTGTTTTCTCAGTCTCCAAGGCGCCATATTTTGGTGTAGCATTTCCTATGCCTTGTCAGATATTCAATCACTTTTAGAAGGGCATCCTATAGTTCTTTCTCATGTCAAACCAGAGCGGCTCAAGGAATATATATACTAGATCTTCTGACTTGATTTAAGATTCTCATTTCAAATGTAAGTGACTATATTGTACCCTCTAAAATAGTCAGCACTTACTTTCTCAAGGCTTTATATTCAATTCTCAGAACAACTCTATGAAGTAAACATAACTGTTATTTCCATTTCACAGAGAAAGAACCTTGGGCACATAGAGGTTGAACAACTCTTCCAAAGTTGTGTGGAAAGTGGTAGATGTAGTTTAGTTTCCTCTTTACAAGCCCAAATACTGTCTTTACAGTCATTTATAATGACCATAGGACAAGAGAGCTAGAGGAAGGAATTTTGACTCTGTTTTAAGAAACTTGAGGAGAGCTAATGAGTCTGTGCAGAAAAGCCACTGGAGAGGCAGGTCCCATGATGTGTGGCTACTAGCAAACCTCGGCGTCACCTGTGTTGCCAGCATCCATTTCTAGTGACCTAACTTGGACTTGAGTAGTTGCATCAACCAAGATGCAATCAAGGTACAGCAGAGATGTAGTGTCATAGGTGAGGAGGGAGCAAAGCTTTAGAAAGAGTTCAGAAACACCCAAGTTGAGTTCATTCATTCAGTGTAAGGGGTCTTTGAGAAATTTATGGAATATGTGTTTATGAAAAAAAAATGCATGGATTTAAAAATAATTTTGCACCACAATAAAACTGTAATTTAATTGTATTTTCCAGACTTTTTGAAGTTTCCTGGACAGGAAAGACAGGTGATGTCTTGACTCTCCCAGGGCTTCCATTGAGGGGGAAGAGCATGATAAATAAACACATAGGGTCTGGTCCAGGGGCCTAAATAGTTAAGGGAGTCAGATTCTACACTGCCAATGGAATGGCTGGTATACTAATTTAAAAATTGGGCCAGGAAGTGGCATGGTGGTTAAGGTGCTAGACTCCCACATGGCTGATTGCAGTTAGTAGTTCCGGAACTGGTGGCCCGCTTTCGCACTCCCCACCACCACCTAGGTCAAATTAACATAATAATATTAAGTAAAATTAAATAAATCTTAATTAAAAAAATAAAAATAAATCTTAATTAAAAAAATAAACACAACAAAGAAACGAAAAAGATGCTTTCAACTGGTGATAAATTTATATAGAACGTGAGATAGAATAACGCTTGATAGGGAACTGGCTTAGACTGGGTGAGGAAGGCCTTTCTGAGATTAAGTAGCGAATTAAGCAGAGACATGACTGACAAGAGGGAAGAGGCCATGCAGGGGGCATGGGGCAGTGTTTCTAGACCAGAAGGGCTAAAGCACAAGGACTGAAGTGGCATGAGGAAAGTCAGAGACATAAGCAGCGCGGTCACGTCAGGCCTCAGGCCCTGCAGAGTCCTTGCAAGTCTCTAGGAGTGCTGGAAAGGCATCAGAGAATGTTGGAGGTTGTGCGGGGTAGAACCACTGAGGCTGGGGCGTACACAGAATTGCAGAATGGCCTGTGGACCGGGCAAGTATCTCCTCCAGGGAACATCTTAGCAGCACGAAATTATTTAAGGAGCATTTTAAACATACTTTCTTCCCACAATGCCAACTAAATGAGCAGTTATCAGGCTGTGCTGAGACCAAGTCCACAGACCCGCTCGTCAGGGCTCCTGCAAGTTACAACGCGGAACAGGGCACAAGGGCTCTGAAAGGGGGTGAAGGGAGGCGAAGGGGTAATGAGGGTGTAGTTTTCTGAATGCCCCACTCCCTCCACCATGACCACACACTAAACCCCGAGTATTGGATGCAAAGGGCCCCGTGCAGTGGGAGAGGGCGGAAGCCAACGGTTTCAGGGTTCAGGACCCGAGCTCACCCCGTCACGAATCCCCGCAACACCTGCAGTCCACCCCTCCCTGCGGCCTCGCCTCCACCCAGAGATCGGGGCGCCGC